TCCATGGGGAATGGGTAAAGCTGAACTTTTTTTTTTTTTTTTTTTTTTCCTTTTTGTCTTTCTTCGTGTCCGGCAACGGATCGCAACCCTCAGTGTCGCGCCCGCACGAGACCGGGACCGGCAATGGGATCGCAACCCTCGGTGTCGTGCCCGCACCTCGCTCAGCCAGTGAGCGGGAACCGGTCTGTACGTGGGATCCGAACCCTCGGCGGGAGCACCGGCCCCAAAGCTGAACTTTCATTACATCATTTCATTAAGAAAGCTGTGAAATTCTTGAGTGAAAGGCACAAAGGCCTTGACAGATCTGTTGTTGATTGTATTCTCAATGTATTGTTTATGCAAAGGATTTTTCAAGAATACAAAAGGAAATTAATCTGACCTCTACCATAAATCTTTTAGGTTGATGGACAAGAACAAAACCTGCATCTGAGAAGATCATCTCATCTAACTATAGAGAAAAGGGGCCATAAACAAGTTTCTTGTAAAAAGAGAACCGTGAAACCACACTTGGATATTGCTTACATTTCTTATCATGTTGCAAGAAAGTATAATACTGCTGTAAAAGAGGACCAAAAATAATAAAGGGGATGAAGGAAATTTTTTTAAGGTAACTAAAACATAATTCTGGAGTAGAAAGAAGAGCCTGACTGGGTTGGGGGTTGTGGGGCAGGGGTATTAGACGAGGCACAAAAAGTAAACGTTTTGCCTTGTATATCATCAAGGGCAAATGTGACCTCAAACAAGATGGCAAAAACAGAACCAAAATATTAGGCGGAACAAATCACTGTGTTGACAATCACTTTTTATGTCCTTTTGACTTCCTTTTACCTGCAGATTATTGCTGAGAAACCAGTGGCTGAAACTTCCTGAACTATTTTAGGAAGAGAAAATATATGGTGACACTAAGCCAGGAGAAGAGAAGGCTGATAGTGGAGGCAATAATGAGTTTTGTACAGATAAAGGGTTAGAATATGAATGATGGGAAGATAGGCATTTCCACTAAGTCTAGGGAAAGAAGGAAGGTCAAATCTAAGAAGGGTGCCCTATGGGCTTAGAGACACAAAAGTGACTTTTTTCAATGGAATAATGTTTCAAAATTATAGATACTCTGCTAGGCAACGTTCTCTATATTATAATGGTTTAGGTTCAGTACTGCCCTGAAAAAGCGATAGCCTTTCAATGACCTTTTCCAGACCATGATCATAATTCGGTTTACCAGTTTTCTCTTTATCTCTTAAGATATATGTAAAATAATGATTCTACCCTAAACTGACTTGGTTCTTTAGCCTGGGAATTTCTGTTTTACAGTCCTCGGCTCACAGTATTTTATTTCATGATGCAAAAAAGTCAAAAGAGATAGATGGTCTTGATAGTCTCCTATGCAACAGAACTGCTCACTTCATTTAAATGGAAATGTGCATTTTCATGGAAATTCAGGCCTCTATTGGTGAAGAAAGATAAGCTGCCACTATTAAATAGGATAGTGATATACAAAAAAATAAATAAATAAATAAAGTGTCCTAGAAAACTCATAAAAAAAAGCAGTGAAATTTATAAGGAAAGATAGGTAATGTTAAGAATAAATATACAGATGAATTAAATTTTCTCTCAAATTAGTAACATTTGGATGGTTACGAAGTTAAAAATCCCAGGACAAAGGCTGTAGAAGACAGGTTGAACACACATATCTCTGATGAGCATAGTGACTTACTATGGAAAGACTAATTAGCACATTAGCGTTTATAAATAAATACAAGCCATCAAATAAACACTGTTCATGAATGTGTTAAGAAATGTCATGCGTCAGGTGTGATATCATTTCCCATGTTCTTTTCTTTCTACAAATATTAATGTGGCTATTTTTACTTTTTTTTTTTTTTATAACTCAGTTAAGAAATATTTAATGATCGTATATTTTCTCCCAACTAGAAACTTAAAAAGCATTCTTAATTGTTTCTTTGCCAAAAACATGTAGGCCTTTTAGAATTTTCCTCAGTAATGAATTGTGACTCTACATACTCTTCAGCATTCCTACTGTCAATGCCTTAATCTTGCCTGGTATCATTCACCTGACAATTGTCAGGGCCTGCTCTCTGGTGTCTCCCATCTCCCTCACCCCACTCTACTTCTGTCCAGCATCTGCGCTGCCAACTAAGTGATTTAATTTACATTTTCAAGAGGACTACCTAATGCACATAGATGATGAAGAAATGAGTCTGAGAAGAAACAATCAACACGTATGGGTTGGGTGGGGGCGCACTATCGGGGGTATGAAAGATACAGACAACCCAAGGAAAGTATTTACAGTTAAAAATTGGGCAAGTAACCAGTTGTGCAAGCATGTCATAGATGTTCTGTAACTATTAATTCTTCTTCGGTTTGATTGAACAATTCTTTTTCCACACTGCTGCTGTGGAAATGTCCACATATTCGCTAGTTTTTTCCGCACACAAATAGAGTTTTAGAAACATGACCTGATAGAGTTCATTAACAGAGCAGTACAGCCAGGGGCACAAAAAGGAAAGTTAGGTTACAATAGCTTTGTCTCACGAAGCACTTTTATTTTCCTGACTTTTTGAAGATGGACAGGAAAAGGATTCTTAGCATAATGTTTGAAAGTTGAAATAGTCAAAGGTAAATTAAGATTTAAAAGGAGACATCACTGCATAGGACAGGGTTTAGATGTTCTGGTCTTTACTGAATAACAGAAATCCCAGTATGACTTATTAAAGTTCAGATAAAGCAGGTGGAAAATGATATGAAATAGTTTCTTTAGTAGTTACTGTTTGCTTTGGCAGTATCTGTTACAGTTTTTTTAGGGAAAAAGTATATTTTGGTTGAAAAAAGTCCAAAAACGGAAGAAAAGTTCAATTTCTATATATTGTTTATACCACAGATACTTGATTTTATCTCTCAACATTATGATTTCAGACCCTGGCATTTAATTTATGCACAAAAGGCTACAAGTAAAAATGCTTCTACTGTATCTATATGAGTATTGAACAATTCAGTATAAAAGGACAGCTCACTTTTTCTCGGGGGCTGGAAGAAGAAAGCTGAATATAGTGTGCAATAGAAATTATTCAACCTCGTTTCTGCTCTCTTCTTCTGCTGTGTTCGGAAAACAAGCTTCAAACTAAACAAATATAATGCAATCACTCTTTTCAAGTATGCCTGTTGATGTGCTTTTTGTTCAGTAGAAGGGGATAGAGAATCTGGTTTCGTTCCAGGTCCTTAGTCTTTTTATAAGGCAGACTCTTTGGCTGAGAGCATTAGGATAAAATGTATAGGACCCTTGTGTCAGCTTTCAGAGGAACACCTACAGGAGATGAGCTGATTTACAGTGCACAGGGAATGGAGTGAAATCAGGAAGGACTCTTCCCAAATGTCCCTGGAGTCCTTGAACTAATTCTAGTTCTGTGCGTACCTGGGACATGCTACCTGTGCAGTCACACAGAGCCTTGAGCTGAGGGGCCCAGCAATTGGTTTATTGCTTTGTCGTCACCTTCTTGAAATTCTTAATAATTTGTCAGCAAAGGACCCTGCATTTTCAATTTACACTGGGCCCTGAAAATTATGCAGCCTGTCCTTCTGGGGAGGAACAGCTGTGAAAGAGACAAAGGATAATCAACAGCTTTCTTTCGGCCTTTGTAAGGACATTCCCCTGTCCTGAATGGCCATGCATTGGTCTGTTTAAGGATTACACAGATATCTAGCATCTAGAGAGAGACCAACATTCCTCTTCAGTATCCAATCCCCCTCTTCTATTTTAGGAAAACACCACCTCCCTCCGCCCCCCCTAACCTTTTTAGCTGCATATGTGGCTGCCAAACTCTCTTGCTTTTACGTGTATCCATGCGATGTTATTTGGACCACTGAGATTGGAATAGATGTGTTTTGGAATTGTCTTGAAAACAGAGCCAAAGAAACTGCACTTTTTTATTTTTACAGGCAGAAAGGCAGATATGCTGGTGACCCAGCTTTGACCATTCAGAGGAGGACACACCAGGGGAAAGCAGAGCAAGGAGTAGAAGGAACTCAGTTCCTTTCTAGACCTCCTGAATGAGAGCTCCTTGGCCAGCATGGACTACTAACCTTGGGTCAAGAACTTGAAAGAGGAATAAATCTTTATTCTGGAGTCCCTTTGTTACATCAGCTTAGCCTCTGCCCTAAATAATGTACAGCATAAATTCTTATGGACTGGTTCACAGTAAGTTCACATTTATTCAGAAAGTTAAATAATAGTGCTCTGAGTATTAGAAAATTCTAAATAGGGAAAGTTACTAATTTGCGTTAATGTAATACTAAACTATATTGAACCAAATTTTATCTTCGATGATCCTCAGAACACTTCTGGGTCTTGCAAAGTCTCAAGGTCATCATTATGAGTACTAATTATAGTATATGTCTATAGATGTTGGGGCTTGAGTAAATCTATAATAACCTTATGACAAACTCCTGATATTGCATTTTCAAAGTTAATTCCTGAAGTACTCTAGTTTCTTTGTAATTTATCTCCATTATGAAAAAAGACCAAGGATGTTAAAAATAAATTTTATCAATTTCCTCATTGTTTGGAAACTGAATATGGGTGCTTATTAACTTTTTGAAAATAACATAACAAATAGAAGATAATTTTACTTCTCATTTCTTAATTTTTCAATAACTAAAACTGTTGAAATTAAAAATACTATTTTGATAAACCAGTTACAAAGCCATTAAAGAATAATATGTTCAAAATTGTAGATTGTATGTTTACCTGCCCCAATGACTCTCTCAATGCGAATTCTTGAGGGATCAATCTCCTTTGCAAATTCATGGACTGCTAGGGATGGGTCTTCATATGTATCTGGATCAATGTAAGTCTTCACTCCTGGGAAGCTCACTGCAACAAAAATAAAAGACTGATTTAGTCGAAGAGTATTTTAGTAGTCATATATCTTGTGAATATTTAAATTTGGGAGTGACATACTGAAGTAGTTGGTCTTGCTAATTACTTAATTTTCTCTTTTCTTCCTAACCCACCTCCCACCCCCCACTAAAGCTTTAAAGCTCTGACTACTTGGGATGGAATTTATTTACCTCATTGTTCATGTAAAGTGATTTGGTGGTTTCGCAGAGAGTGAGCTGACAGTTTCTAGAAAACACATTTTTATATTTTTATAAAAAGTTTAATCAGCTCACTCATTCACTAAAACACATGCATTTTACATCTGATCTAGCTCAGACCATGGGGAAGATGAGGCATAAGCCTCCCCCCAAAATGAGCAAGCCCCTTAACACTCCTTCTGGATCCTTTATACTCTAAGGCACTAGGTTTTCCTGAACTCGTGCCCCACTCCTGTGGTCTTTCCCTTTCCAGAAACTCTCAAGCAATAAAGAACAGACCCCATGGCACAGTGACAAGAGGAGCCACCACGAATAATAATTCTGTGTTCTCATAGTTGCTTTCATGGCCAAACTGCAAATAGTCTTGGAATGGACCAGCTTATCTATCCTAGTAAGAAGGATAGGAATCAAAGGCCCAAACCTGGTTACTGGGACTGTAGCTGCTGCTCTTTCCCTGGTGGGAATGGGATTCTGACAGCCCCCACACAGTTAGGATGATAAACAAAAATGGCTGGAAATTCTGAATGCATGTTGCATGTTCATTTGTCAGTATCTGAAGAAGTCACAGATTGCCTATGAAATCCTTCTGCTTTGCTCACTGATTTCTGTTTTCTACTTCAGATGGCTAGCTCCTGGAGGACAGGAGATCATTTCTTATGTATCTGTGTATTTTTCCAAATACCTTGTGTATTTTACAGGTAATAGGGGGCTGGCCAGTTAGCTGAGTTGGTTAGAGTGTGGCCTTATATCACATAGTTCAAGGGTTTAGTTCCATATACCAGCCAGCCACCAAAAAAAAAAAAAAAAAAAAAAAAAAAAGGTAACAAGCATACA